TCTTGAATCACCCGATATATTCTCAGATCAATCTCTACCCGACCTTCGAGCTGATGGGCTAACGCGCCTACGGACACGTAAAGCCAACGTTGTATCTGAGCAAAAATATTGGCTCACCATGCCTGGATGGGGCGGTGTTATAGCCACGGCATTCAATCGACCAGTCATCTTTTACGGCACCTGCTATTCCAGTCAGATCAACTTTCCTTACCTTACACCACCTAATACCTCACCGCCAATAGTTCTCGCTCTCGCATCTCTACACTTCTGCTCGCTCACTCTTGATTTCACACGTCCCAATCTTCCAGTCCCTAATTATAGTACAATTTGGCAACGATACTGTACGCCAGAAGCATCCAAGTGGGTGAATATCTGGAAGCCGCTGATTGACCGCCACACTGATTTCATGAAAACTCGGAATGGAAAAAGACGATCAAAAAAGCAAGCTGTCACTATCCATGTTGAATGATTCCGATCTTTTTCATTCAAACTCGTTACTTGTTTTTATCAATTCTTTTTGCTTGATTTTTGTATTCCTTTATTCCTCGATTTCTTTATATATCTCCAGTCTGTAAGTCTGTATCCCTTCCCTCCAAATGAATGGGCCGGTATCTTAAACAATTTCAAGTTACAGCCACCGATACCATTTGTTACTTATGTTTGATCAATTATTCAATGTTTGTCAAGAGTGAGCTTTAATTAATGTACTTTTCATCATAACGTACGAAACGCACTCCTAGAAATGCCTAAATATATGTTTCTACCAAAATAGATACATAAAAATACACAGGCAGAGCAGTGAGATCACATATAATCATAATACATAAATAGGTCCTCATCCGGCTCTTCCGGCGGCTCTTCCGGGACATCATCCTCATGAGCCCAGAATATCGGGACACCCATGATTTGACCCCACGAGGTACGGTCCACCATCTCACGCCACCTTGTAATCAGATTGCCATCAATAGCCGCACTGTTTTCTACAAAGGGTGATGTCCAGCTAATGACATCCAGCAAACCACGATCCCACCACTTCCATAAACGACAACTTCTTTTATTGAGCCCGCTGTGGATAGACCTCCACTCTATCACACGCGCCTCACCTGCGTCACAGACAAAGAGGCATTATCATTAGATGAACACGAGATTAGTGAGTGATTATGGTTACCTTCAGCATTTGGCTTGCAGGCCTCAATTCGAGCTTGATACTCGATCCCCCAAAAAACGAGCTGCCTTACCTCGCGGCCCAATCGTCGAAGCTCCTCCTCGCATGACCTCTTACTTTGAAAGGCAATGATTCCAGCCTTTGTGCTCTCACATCGAGCCCAAGGCTCATCTGGATGATCGAGCGCAGCCTCATCCCAAAAAGGATCCAAGATGTCCTTGTTGAGTACTTCGTCAAATGTGGGTTCTAGAAGACGTGGCGTCGGTCGGAATCGCCGGTTGTACTTTGACGCATGTCGAAGATAAGTGTCTGTCTTTGTCTTTAGAATTGCCCTTTTCTTTTTCTTCAACTCCTCGTTTCGAGGCTGCTGAGTGGCTCCTGTTGTTGAAGATCACATGCGAACGAACGGTCAGCATTCAGGTTGTCGGTATCAATGCTATATATAATTGATTTACTCACGTACCTGTCTTAGCAGCAGCATTAGCCTGCTGTTGGATTTCATCAAATTTGGCTTTGTACAACATCGCCAACGCAACCTGAACAGTCACCGCCGACTTGACGCGATCATCTGTAATGAACGATGATAAGTCACAACAGATAGCACAGATTTGAAAACAGACATACTGCTACGGTGCCGAACATTGAGTAGTTCAGTGTTACCCAATTCGTCTGCAACTTCTTGCACCTTGGCCTCGAGATTGACGAGGGACCTAGGTAGATCAAGCAGATCATGCCTATGCTCCGCTGTCCTTATAGCGGCATTTGCCGCGTTCATGTCCTCAAGTTGTTTACTGTTGATCAAACACGGACAAACTCAGCAAAAGATAACCCTCGAATTAATGCTCGACTAACCGGGCTTCCAAGAGCTCTTCCTCCAATTTGACCAAAACCTTGACCCTAGCGCGTTTCTCTTTGGCTTGCACGTTTATTGCTTTGAGCTGTAACTCTCGTTGTCGCACCCACTGCGCTTGAAAGTAATCTGTCGTATGTGTTGCATTTGCGGCGACTAGCTTGGACAAGCTGCCTTCTGACTCCTGGAGCTCAGCCAGATACTTCTTTGTATGCTGTTCCAGAAATGATACTGTGGAGTTGGTAGGTTATTTGTGTTTGATATCAGATTATGAGATGAAAAAAAGAACACCGTGTCCTTCTTACCGGCTTTCTTTCGCAAATCCTCATTACGATGGTGATTCCAGAGGTCGAGACTCACAAGTCTGCGGTGCTTAGTACAGTACCGCAGGAGCTTCACAAGGGGAGCGTTCTTCATCCAAACACGCTCCATACCCTCCCCATTGGATTTGCCCCAACCAATGTTCAGCCGAGGGTTGTACTCGAGCTGGCACCCCCAGTTGTGTGCATATGCATGGAATAGAGCGGTACCCAATTTGACTTGTTCGGCGTATTTGGCATCAGTAAAGACCTGTTTCTGTTTACACCGAATTACAAAAATCATACTGAGATCAATCCGAAGTAAAAATTGCGCAATTGAATGGTAATACTGTTCGGAATCGATACGTACTTTTTTGATAGTTTTATCCAAGTTACATCCTATGTCGTAAAGGATACCGCAGGTGGTACTCTTGTCGCGTTCGTTTGCAAATAGATCTAGAAGCCACTGAATCAGTGCCACCGCATAATGCGTTCTAGTCCATATCCTATCAGTATACGCCTGTTTAATTCTTTGAAATGTTACCCACTTTTCACCGGTCTGGACGAGGTTGATAAATTTAATAACGTGGTCGTGTCGGCAGGCCATACCTAACAATCCCGACTCGTCCATCGATTTGAAATGACCCTTACCGCGGACATCATTAGCAGTTGTATGCGCTTCAGTACAATCGTCCTAAGTGTTGATTTTGATTCGAAATGGTCAATTTGAATACCACGTGTACAAATGTAACATTTGGATAGACCTACCATCTCAATGGGAGGAAGCCCGGCCATGAGTCGAGCTTTATCCTCTACCAATTTAGGGTCGAGGAATATATCGGGCCGTGGTGGTGTGAAACCGGGAATAGGAACACTCGCGGCTGCATGCCTCTTGTGTTGGAAATTGCCATCTAAACATATAATCACGTCTGGTTCATTTGGCCTGTTGACGCCAACTGGGGGCCCGAAACACTTCGGACAATTTGCTGCCACTTTACCGAGTTCTGATAGTTTGAGCCGTTCGTTTTCAACATTTCTTATTTGGAGTGTGATAGCTCGATAGGCGTCCATTGCCGCGGTGAACGGCTGCCGCCAATCGCGAGGCTAAAGTATCGAGATCATGTAATCAGTTAGGATTGCGATTTGTATAATCATAAAATACATACTCGCATGCTGTTCCTTGCCAGGATCACAGGATTGTGGTTATCGAGGGTGTCGTCGAGCCCCTCGCAGAAGCCTTGTGTGGGCACAGCATAACGTACCCACATCGCGTGATGATGCACAAGCAGACGTAGCGAAAACGCAGTACGTGGACTTACCGGGGAGGCCGCAATGTAACCCATCTGCAGAAGCCTCACCGGGTCGGACAAATCACAATCTTTGCAAAAGGATATAATCACTCGTCGCCGACCTTGTGGTTCATAATGGAAAGAATGCAAATGTAGGTTAACCTAGGAATAACATATTAGATATTTGAAGCTCACTGATCAAATCAAGTAGGTCAACTTCTCGCTCGGTCCGCTTTGCGCAATTGCAGGGTGGCCTAAAGTCTTGAAGGCACTTCTCATTGTTAAACCAGTTTGAAGTTTCAAAGCGGAGTCGGAGAAATGTTGGCAACATTATGGCGTACTGCCACAACCATCGATGTTCGTGTGCCAGACGGTCAGCTTGATGCCGTTGTCGTTTCAACGCAATCATTACTGGATCGTGTCGTAGATCTTGCAGCTCGGGTGGTCTATTACCTGGCATGAAGTGATTCATATCAAAGTTGTCAGGTACGTCCTCAGGCTCTTCTGGCCCGTCCTCAAATCGTGCGGCGTCATTGGGTTCCGCTATGGTAGCAGGTTGGACACCCCCTTTGAGACGTTGCAGGAATGCAGCATTCGATTGTTCAGCGTGACGCAGGTCACGCTGCTGGTTCTTGATAAATTGACGTTGAGCTGGTGTCACGGCCTTGAGTTGCTTGCCCTTCTTGTCATTAAGACCCGTCTGAATGCGCAGAGAACCCATTATTTGTCTACAAAAAGACAAATACTCTGATCGTTACGGTTGTTCAGGTTGGGGCCATGTGCCCACGTTGGACAACCCTGATCATTTATTAATTGAATCGCTAGTGCCAGCGCTTTTGATGTTAGATACCGAATCGAACTTGGAATAACATTCCAAGTTCGAAATGGCAATTGACTGTGGAGCCTCCCTGTTAGGCCATTCAAAAACTGTCCAAATCCGTCCGTGCAGATGAAAGGGCGAGTTCCACCCTTTGCAAATACAGTGACCTATTGGGCGTCGACTTGAACACCCTATTGCTAGGGTCAACACATTGACATTCTATCGAATGTCCAACAGATTGAACGCACCCAGGAGAGATGTTTGTGTGTGCCACATTCATAATCGAGTTACCTGATTGGATGTGACAATAGCTGGCACAGATTTGATAACTAGCTATTATCACACCTATTATGACACACTCAATGAATGAAGAGATGTGCACATTCATCAAGGGTGCAATAATGAATGTTTATCAAAGGATAATGAAGGTGGGTCAAACTGATTGTGAATCTATTTATCCAAAAAAGCCAATGACACTGAGCATCAGTGTCATTAGAGTGTTTCACTACGGAATTGTGAATGCCCAATCATGACTGAAAACATTCTTTTATATTTTGGTGCCTTTCAGACATGTTATAAACAAGGCGTGACTTTACATACCACCCAGATATTTACCAAAATAAAATACGTCTTCATATCATTGTTGTATTTCTTACAACAACAATGATATGTAAGTGTATTAATCATTTCAGTGATGTTTGTTCTGAATAATGGAACACTTACATTGACATTTGCCCTGAATTCAGGCATGCTTTAAATGCCTGAAATCAGGGCATTATATACCACTTCTTATATGAGGGTATATACATACAACAAAATTGCTGA